GCAGCCTAAGAATAAGTTCTAGAATGTTCACGCTCGCCTGTAGTATATCACCAATTTTGCCGCCAAATGGGCGATTTTACGCTAAATCTGGCAACCCTGCTTTTCTCTGTCACTTTCTGGTAACCCTAACTCCACTTTGCGGGGAAACTATCATACCGCAGCTGGGCGTTTCGCGACGCTCTAATAAGATCACCTGGCTAAATATTTGGTACCAGGGATACTTTAGGGCCCTTCTTCAGTGATGGTACTCCTTCTGCAGTCCAGTCGAACTAATTGATATTTGCAGTAAATTTATACTCACAAATTCATTTATTTTGTTGCTTTCTTTCGTTATTGTACTTCACGTAAATGCAATCAGGATAGGCAAGTTGAACATTGCCAACATTAACTAAAACAAAAAATATTATTCTTTTAAAACAATTCTTTCACCACAGTCCTACACTAAATGCAGAAAACATATGCATCTTTATTTTGGATATTAAAAGCGGCCTTAGAGGAATTTTCCTTAAAAATTCGGGCCGTAACAATACGTTATTTTACGTTACGTTAACATACAAAAATCTCTAATGCATCAAACCTGCTTTTGAAAATGCTAAAGCGCGCATGACATAACGTAATTATGATATAACGTAGTGTAATGTAATAAAATTATCCAATTTTAGCAGTATAATGTAATGTAATTACGAGAGAACGAACCATGAAATTCACACACTGTCATAGACAGACAGTTTTCAGACTCATTTAGTTCGGAAGATCATTGTAATCAGTAATAAACGCACTTCATGTTAATTAAAATTTTATTTTGACATTAGAAACTTCTTTAGCAGAATATTTTCAAATTTTTTTATAAGTAGTTACTTTTATGTTACAAAATTCCGTGAATACAGTTATCATCCACGCAATTTAGAAAATATTATCATCCCTCTAAACAAACGTTAGTCATCGCTCTAAACTTTTAATTTATTTTTCAACGCAGCCTTGCAAAACATCAGTTTTCAGAGTATTGCAAGTCGGCAAAGCCTAAGTTCTTTAATTTCTTTGCAATTGCTTAACAAATTGAGCGATTTACTATGGCGGCGACTTACAAGCTGTAACAGACGACACGGATAGCTATTCCAGCAATATTAAATGATTTGGAGGCTAGGGAATAGAAGTGACAACAATAGGAGGGGGTAAGATTCAAAATAGGAAGTAAAAATGAAAATAACTTATTAAATATTGTTAATGTTAATATTACTATGTAATCTTATTGGAATGTAGGTTTCTTTTAAATCATTAAAATTGAAATACTTACCTTTATTTTATCCATGAATAGTTTTCCTTTGTTATGTTCTTACTGTAATTGTATCTTTCGGAAGTTAAACTATTCGCCTCTCGATTTTCGTACAATAAAATCAGCGAAACGAAAAGGGGGGGAATACGCGAGTAAATGTACAGTTTTTAGTTTTTTGTCCTTCCACCACCACCATCTAGTTTACTTGCTTATGCAGACAGATGTTGCCATCGGCAAGATTGGAGATTTTAATGGTGCAGTAACGATCTGTTCAATAAAATGGCTTTTCCTAAACTCTCAGTTACGGAGGATTCTCTGTCTGTATTGATCATTAATTGCTTCTAGACTGGTCATCATTAATTAAGGAAAAATCATAAAAATGACGATTACTCAAAAAGTTGCATCTAGAGTTTAATGAAACTGCCCCATGATATACAATACATAGTAAAGTAACCAGACAATTAGAGTGTAACGGAAATTAGCATATATATACGTATAAAATGAAGAAATCGGATGTGTCCATTTGGTATAGAAAATTACCTTCAATATGGAGTATGATTCCCCCCGAAGCAATACAGCTCATGCATCGATATGTGATGCTGCCAATTATGCGATCTATCAGCTCCGTAGGAAGTGAGAGCCATTGATTTTGCAAAGCAGTTGCAAGAGTGGCAACGGTCCGAAGAGAAGAACTGAAAACAGCTATATGTCTTTCCTAAAGCATCCCAAACATGCTGGATAGGATTCACGCGAAGTAATCCAGCTGGCCACTCCATGCGCTGAATTGTTTGCTGCTGAAGATAATCATCCACGATACGAGCCCTGTGCGCTCTAGCGTTGTCGTGATGTAGCAGAAAATCATCATCTATTGCCCCAGCAATAAGGGCACACATAAGCATCAAAGATGTCATCTCTATAAACCTGAGCATTCACGGATCCACGTGGAAAGACATGAAGGTCTATGTGTTCAACCCAAAGAGATAACACCCCAAACATACACACTGCCTCCTTCGTATGCATCTCTTTCACGGATGTTTGATGGATGATAATTGGTTCCACGTTGTTTCCAAATCAAATAATGCCTAGTATCAGTTTGAAGGTTTATCCATAAAGAGAACAGCCCTGCATTGAACAGACATCAAGTGGACATGTTGGCGTGTCCACCTCAAACGTTCCCTTCTATGACGTGACGTAAGCGGCACATAAATGGCTGGTGGCCTCGCGTACGAACTTCCTTCGTGAAACCTTCTGAGCACAGATGACGTAGACACTAACCTTCCGGTGGCTGCAGTAAGGAAGGATCTGAGTTGAGTCGGAGTTGTGATTCTATTCCTTCGTGCGCATAACAACAAATATCGGTCATCGGCGTTCGTCATAGCTGTTGGCCGTCCTTGGCTCAACCCACTGGATGTCGAATCTGTGGTTAGAAATTGCCTTTGTCCTGCCTCTAGTCTCCCAATAGCTCTCCATCTCAATGCTACAGGCAAATGACACCTGGAGTCATTTTAACGAATTGGCTACTCCAGATTTCGTATCTCATCATCAAAGAGAAATTTGCAGGCCTGCTTTGAAGAATGCAACTTTATGCTCTTCGCAGATGACACATTCCGATTGCAACGCCACTAATTTGTATATTGCATTTTTACTCAATAAGTCTTATTTGACAACATATTCAAATTTTATAGAAATTGGCTTATTTTTGGATGAGTTATCGCTATTTTTGTGATTTTTCCTTAATTTTTGAAAACCAGTATCCCTTCAGTATTAAAAATGTGCATTACTTGCTACAGTGTTATGGTTATCATTTATAAAATAATTTTACATGCATTACTTAACAATATTTTACTACAAGTATTATTTTAGATCATGACTGCTATAAAAAATTTTGTAATACACTGTAATTGGTAGACTGTAAAAATTCTAATACTTCCTTTTGTGTTTTTGTCACTATTTAGCGACGCATGAGATCTTTCAGTTACTTCATTTACGTTGCTCAAATCTGCATTCCTCAATATTAAGTTTCATATATTAAATTAATATTAAGTTTCATTTCACTTGAATTTTCTAACAATATTTTACAATGCATATATTATGTTCGTGTTTTCGTCTATTATAAAAGACACATTTCTGTTTTTACAGCCTCTATTTTAAATACGAATTCTTTGAGAACTTATAGTCTTCCTAGTGAGACTTGTTATTCATTGGTGAAACCAAACGCTGTTTTAAATTTCGCATCAAGAACCTTAGGAACCTTATGTTCCGAAAAAGAAAACAATCATCTATTGCACAGCATTGGTAGTTTGCTGACAGCATATTCGGATGCCAAATTCATACAAAATGCTTCATTCTTAAACTGGATCGAGGCTTCTTATATCTATGAAGTCTTATTTCAGGCAATCATTTAAATTCTAATCCAAGGTTTTCTCAATAATTTATAAATAGAACATTGTTCATTTGCTTTTATGTATTACTCCACTTTTTAATCCATCGTGTTTTTCTGTTTGCCTGCATTACAGGGGGCATCGTTGTAGCAAATAGAGAATTTTTGAAGATTCTTTGATATCATTCTTTTCTGTTGCTTGTATTCATAGCAGCTTGTATTCTTGTTGCTTGTTTTCTTGTATAGTTGCGTCTCGAAAATGCAACACAGTGAAACTGCCGAATAACTCCTTTAGTTAATTTGTGAGTCAAATTTATTATTTTATTTCTTGAATTCTGCTAAATTTACTTTGTCATTTGTTATCACATTCTTCTAGAGCTTAATTTAGAAAAATTTAGCATAAGAATTTATTGAAGTATTTTATTCTATGAATACCTTTATCAAAATTTAATGTATTACTAGCGTGCAAGCCCGACAGATAAGCTGGCTGCGGTCAAAGCAGTTTTATGTACTGAAGAACAGAAAATAAAATGAACTATGAATAGTACTGTAACAAATTTGATAGCTGCGACCAAAGCAAAATTTATGAGTTCTGTGTACACCTGAAAACAAAGTACATACAAACATTTCAAATATGAATGAACTCGCTTCATACTTTCCAATTCGTAAATATTCTTTTTTGTTGCCAAACGAGGAAACAAAATCTTTGGACACTTCAGATTAATACGTATACGTATGACGTCATGATTTAAAATTAATGTAATATAACAACCTTTTCTCAATATCAATAAAAGAATTAACATGGCAACAACATACTGTGTCAATTATCTTAATCTCAAACAAGAAAAAGTGTTTCCAACAACAGCTGTTTATTTAAAATGCTGACATTAACGAAAAATCTTCGATTTACAATGACGTCACGTTTCTTCAACGTCAGAACATAACCTCATATAATAATAACATATTTAATGTTCGGCAATGCTATTTTTATTTCATATTTTGTAAAACTTTCAATTTTTTTTTTTATTAACAAACCTCTACGCTTTGAAAGTGAGCAGTGGCTACACTTTTCAAAATAAAGCAGATTTTTATCTCCAGCGTGTAAGAATGACTGCTTTTTCCGATTTTTTAATTAATATCTCGGCTGATTAAAGTCGTACGAAGATGAGGCAGATGTGAGCAGATTTTTATAGTATAGATATCCATTTTTAGGAAACATCTTTATAGACAGAAAAACTACTACTCAGTTTTTTTACAGTTACTCGTTTATTATTTGTTCATTCTATGCTGCACAGTATAGTACTCGTAATTAATACAAATAATAACAGATATTTTTTCTCATTTCAGGTACTATATTCGAGAGGCAAGGGCAAGCAAACGATGGATCATTTTTCTAGAAGGTGAGAAAGAACGATCTTTTACTAACGCTTAAAGAATCTTTTGATTTCAAATGAAGTATTTGCAAACAAAGATTCGTTAATTTATTATACAAAGATCAGATACTTCGATCATATCCGTACCTTCTGGAAGTTAAAATATGATGATTTACATATGCATTTAAAATATATGTATATGTTATATATATATATAAAATAAGATTCAAGAACACAAAACTTAAAACGAAAAAGAAAAAGTCGCTTAAATATTGGAAGGTCGACTTATTATATTCGTAAAACAAGTAAATTAGTGAAACACAAATTGAAGAAACGTACCAAATAAAATTTACATTTAAACTAGAAAAATTGGAAAAATGTACAATTAAAACCAAAACAATAAAAATTTGTTAATCTCCTCTGTTTAATGCTCCAAGCAGAACTTGTCAACGGAACAAGGTTTAAGGCTTTGAAGCCTTAAACCAATTTGATTAATGAGGGCGACAGACATGTTTCGTTCAAATGAACCCACTGAGACTTTAAACCGTTTTAAAGGTAATCCCGTATTCTTACAAAATTTATCTAATTAAAAGGTCTCATTAAATTCATTTCTTTTCTCAATATGTCTTCGTCCTCTAACGTACAAAATTTACATTAAAGCAAAATTAAAATAGTCCAATAATTATTAAAATATCATAAAATATCATTAAAAAGCCGAAAAAGGCTAAAGATGAAACAATCTTGTAAAAATTACAGAAAAAGTTACAAATTAATAATCGATAAGTTTTCAGTAATGAAAATTACATTGAAAGACCTATATAAAAACCAAAAACAAAGGCAGTCTCAATTATTTCAAATATATGAACAAACTTTTGCAATTAAAATCTACTCAAGGAAAAATCTTGTATAAGTGAAAATGCCTTTTTTTCACCTTATTTCACCGAAAATATACATTTTCACAGCTGTTGTCTATTTAGACGATATTTTTGCGTGATATCTGTACCTATGGAGGGAATAAAGTGCTATTTTATTCAAAATGAATTGTAAAATGGATCTAAAACAGATTCAGAAAAGAATTTTTTCGTGACGTCTGTACGTATGTATATATCTCGAGTAACTTAAAAACGAGTAGCCTTAGAACGTTGAAATTTTATATATGGGACGACCGCACCAAACGTATACAAGTGTATATATGATGAAAGCGAATTTTGGAAGTACTCATGTAGAAACACTGAGACGTAAAACTATAACAATGTTGTTTCGCGTAGATACTTGATGCTTAGAGGAATAAGCCCATACTGAAGAGAAATAAGCCAAGCCGGAGTAAATTCTATTTTTATTTGAATTCTCACTTGTGGCCACAATTCATTTGACACCCTAATCGTGCCTATTCAAGAACATTAACATTTTTTAATACGATTGCGGTAGGAAGAGAGCATCCAACCAGCACAGCAGCTGAAGCTAAAAAGTAAGCATTTATCCAACAGGGCAACTCTCCATATACACCCACTCTGTTACCCTGCTCGGTGAGCTCAGTTTTTTCAAGTCTTATAATGTTAGTAAATTGTGCATTTTTTGCCTTAAAAGTGACTAAATTATCTTGTTCTTATACTTCGGTTAAGGTTTTTATGCCTTTAGTTAATCTGCATGCAACAATTTTAGAATTATCAACAATTTTAAAGTGATACTAAGCCTAACTAGGCCACCAATTATTTACTTTTGAAATACTTAGTAGAGTATTGAATTAGTCAGTTGTTGCACCAACTTCAGTGTGAACAAAAGTTAACTTTCAGTTTTGTGCATCAAAATTTTGTCTTCCTTTTGGTGTTTTAGATTTTTCTGTATTTTACAATTTTTTAATGAAGATGTTTTGAGTTTTTATGTATTTTTGCTTTAAGTGAGAACTGAATTAATTAAATGAGAATTACATTGTAGGGTTTATATTTATTTTAACTAACATTTATTTTAAGCTATCTTTCCTGTCAAGCCTTTACTTTTCCCTAGAATTGCTAATGCCAGAGTATGTAAATTGTAGTAGAACGCGCAGAGTATTCAAATTTTAGCAGAAGTAAGTTGAGTTTAAATAGAAGGGAACGAGATTGTATGTGTGCTTCTTGAATCGTTAACGTGAAGGTTGCTAGGTAGAAATTTAAGAACCGCGCGTTTCAGCCTGTGTGCCTATCTCGGCAGTTTGTTGAATCTTTCAACTGCTTAATCAGTAAGCTCGCTGAATCTCAGCTGTATTTTAGAACGCGGTTAAGTTAGTTACGATTTTAGAGCCTCGTAGGTAGTGATCTAGTTGTTTATTCATCCTGTCATTAATTTTTAGTTTCACATTACTGTTTTTGTTATACCGCCGGGTCGGCGTAGTTTGTGAGCGTCAAGTGAAAGCAGCTGTTATTTCTAAAGTGGAATAAGAGGGCTTTAAAGCCCTTCTTACGTGTTTGTGTAAATTACAGTTCAAAGCAGTCACTACCACAATTGCTGACAAGTTGGGGCCACGCAACACTACAACATATCTAATTAAATTCGAGGAAATAAGTTTAAATGAAGTGAAAAAAATATAGGCCGCACAAGGAAGTCATGTGTCCGTATCAGATTTTTTTTTTCTAGAAACCCTGGTTGTACGCTTAAACAGTAAACAGTGAAATACATTTTCCCAAAGAATACTTATTAAGTGTCTTTGACAGAGTATGTCAATCCGAATTTGCGGTGTGTTAAATAGGCTGGAACTTCCTCAAAAATGTCAAAGGCTTTATTTATATTTAAAAAAAAAAAACTATACAACAATATTTAATAATATCATAATATAAGCGGATTTTCCTATTTTATGACGAAATTTACAAGGTGAATCACTGAAGTTGATAATATACTAAACTCTCGATTTTACGTATGTGAGTTTATAAGGTATTTCTCCCGCCTTCCTAGCGTGCCTTCGTAGTGTAGCGGTTCTGTGCGCTGGGCCGGTATTCCAGAGGTCCATGGTTCGATTCCCGGCGAAGGCGACGGCTCATTTTTCATCTTCCTTGCTTCCAAAAAGTACCTAATGTCTCTACAAGTTATCTCTATTGTGGTCTAACCGCACATCGTCACACAGAAATTTCTCCCGCATGCCCTACGAGGGAAAAAAAAGGAATACATTTGACTTTTGGTAAAACTCACTGTTCTGGCACAGTGAATCTCACTGCTAAGTTTGGGATGATTTGAGTTTAATGCTAATTTATGGCTATTTGCTGTCGTTAAACAGGAATGTTTCCCTACGCTGAGACAACGAGCGTCTAAAATTACTTGTAGTGTTCAAGGTTTTGAAAATGTAAATAAAATAAACAGAAGAAGTGCAGTTGGAAAAAAATAAACAGAATAAATGGTTGTAGGATTTAATAAGGTACTCAGTTTCAGTAGAAGCCGACGGAAGAGGTAAAGACGAAAGTGACGTAAAGAGGAAATAACAAGAATGACTATGATATGATGAGGCACTAAAAGTATATACTTGAACATTACTATTAAGATTCCCTAAATTAATTAACTATTATGCTTTCCTAATTAAATTCACTAAAACTGTTAAGATTCTCTAACTAATTCAACAATTAAAATTCCCTATATCGAAGCATTTGTAGCATTTTCACGTTTTGCTTGAAGCGTTTTCAAGCTTTTTCTTTTCTCAGTTTTTTCTGAGTTGCAATTATTAGGTATTTTTGACTAATAATTTCCTTTTTTCATCAAACACTGTGGTCCAAACTGCCCATGTTCTATTCGTTAACGTTCAATTCTAAGATGAAATCCCTTCTAGTGGTAGCGTCTGCTGGATTCTCTTTTATCGGACAGTATCTTCACGTTGTTAGTTCGATTTTTTTTTTTTTTTTTTTGAATTTTCTTAACTGTTTTTAGAAAAAATAGCTTCTATCTTTCTGCAGAACGTTTTATCGAATGCAGCACAATCATAGGTTTTTCAAATTATCTAGCATTGTCTTTATTAATCCGTTTCCTGTTAAGGCAGCTAAGTCCTAGTTTTGGCGAAACAAATTTTTTCAGTGCAGTCAGTCTGAATTTTGAAGCTTGAGTTCGTACAGTTGTACCATGTGATATATATACAACGTGAAGATACTGTCCGATAAAAGAGAATCCAGCAGACGTTATCACTAGAAGGGATTTCATCTTAGAATTGAACGTTAAGAATAGAACATGGGCAGTTTGGACCACAGTGTTTGATGAAAAAAGGAAATTATTAGTCAAACATACCTAATAATTACATGTACAGTATATTACTACGCCATAGTCTTTTCCACTGGTATCTGTAAAACAATACAACTGATTAATTCCCATTTGTTGTTCTTACAAACTATTGAAATGAAATCTCAGTATTTGTTGTGTTGAATCTACCTGAATATTATTTCATTCAGTCGTTCTCGCCTTTAAATTAAATATGACTTCATTCTATGACACTTGAAAAGAAATATTTTAAATAAACAATTATATTTTCTTGCTTAAGAAAGCCAAACTTTATTTGCTTACACACTTTAGGAAATAAAAACATTATTCTAATCTTTCTTGCTATTGGCAAACTGCAAAAGCAAAACTCCGTCTAAAATAAAAGGAAAACAACGGCTGTTGACTATCGTTAACAAATATAAGTCATGGAGCTTACAACAGTATTTTTGCATCTTGTATTTGTGATAGTTTTCGTTTCGTTTTCTCAAATTAAACGAAATTCATGAGGTAACACTGTAGTCTGTTTTCCATACTTCTTGTAATAAAATTCGCTCTGTTATGCAGAACAGATTTAAGAAACCTAGACGAACGAATGAACATCCCATAGTTTTCAAAATTTCTCGCTTAGAAATTCTATCATCGAATTTCACAAATTCTTCTGTTAGTACCCTTATCTCAATATGAAACCATCTTTTTCCCATTTCCCAACGTAATCTAAAACTTTGCTACTCCTATACTGAATATGTTTCTTCATTTTCTTCCCAGATCTTTTGTAACGGTCACTCATTTCTTCATATTTAAACACCCTTTCCTTATTA